GTGCGGCATTCGATATATCGCGGAACTTTTCGATGCTGGAATTTACCTACGTGGTTGCCGAAAAACCGATGGCAGCCCACAACCGATTTCGCACTGTTTGATGTGCAAATAAGTGATTTTGTCAAATTTCACGCAAATCGGGCTCCAGTAAAACATGAGGTTGACGAAAACTAGAATATCTAACCTCTAGAAGGGCAAAACCGAACGTGGGCTGTCGAGGAGTTTTGAAGAAATTTGTGGATAGTTTACTTCATGCTTTATCCTGTAGTTTGTTAGAGAAGAAGACAACTACCTAAGGCCTTCAATAATTCTACGAAGTATGAAGTTCGAATGGTCCTCGTCCTCGTCTGACTTGGTCATCCTATTGAGTCCACACCGAAATAGAAGAACACTGGACTTCATTGGACTTCATCATAGGCACATATCCTTGCCCGCGCTAGGGTTCGAACTTCAAAAATCTGACTGGCTGGGTTACCGTGTTGCTACTACTCCATCAGCAAACACACTGGTTGCACCAAAATTATCAAATCTGGAAGGAAGTGTTTTAGAAAATCTGAAACCGTCGCGTCTGATTTCATCAGATGAATATAGGCGGCAAAGTGGTAACCACTTTTAAGCGGTACCAGGGTTATTGGAAGCAAAAACAAAATATTAGTTTATAGACTAGTTACAAGCAGGGTAGATACTTATTCGCGGCCTGAATGGAATCACATAACTAGGCTTGCACGCTGGGGCCCCGTCTTTTCAGCTGCGGGTTGGTTCTTCAAATGCACGACAAGGTAGGGTAACGCTTTACTTTCTACAATGCTGCGCTAATTTAGCAGCACTCAAGAAAATCTTGAGCACTTTGGATGTCCCTGTTTCCTACAGGTTAACTGCTGTCCGAATTCACTCTGTCAGTTCTTGGTATGGGGCCCATACACTTTCTAGCTGTCGTGTAATGAACAACACAATATGTCCGCTTCCTGGAAATCTTTTCCACCTCAATTGGCGCTTTCATTCTGCCGGTAAACAACATTTCTATCCTGCTAAACGCTGATGGATCTCATCTTGGGACGGATAAGTGAGCATCTTCGGGCGGCACCCGTGTATTTTACTTGTGATAAACCGTCGTTTTTTTGTTTTTGTTCATCAGTTCAATAATTAATAATCATAATAATTAATAATATTATTTTAACTAGTTTTCTGTGCGTATTGCAGCCCGGGAATGTCATTGAGTCCAAGGTGATGCGGAGATCTAGGATGACACGATATTATTAAGGCTGTGTGACAATGTGGCACTGGTTTCACCGGGCGCACCATCTACGTAGCACCAGATGCACTCTCCATGACCACTCAAATCCGACAAACGCTTCCAGTTAAACTTTCTTCATATGAATATTTGCCAAAACCAGGCGAGTAATTCCCTGTTTAGTCCTTATTATTTCGAATAACTAAATAACTTAAGAATGGTGTTACGTCTGTCAGTAGCAGCTACCTTGTTAATAGTTGATAAATACCCCCTAATAACTTATTGACCCGACATGGAGAATTTTTCCCAGAGCAAAAGTTTGCCAAGTCACCTTCAAAACAAGTAACCTTCTCAAACATGTCGGATTACTTCACTAAAAATACGACAGCAACACTGAGAACAAACTGAAAACCGACGAAGTCCATAAAATTCCTGTCTTCATGTGATTACCTCCAAGCGAGAATAGGGAACATGTACGTAAACATGGTATAGTATACAAAAACTTGTCAATGAAGGTTGTCTTACCTTGCTATTTTTGACCGTCTTGCCGTGAATCAGTTCCACAAACGTATTCACTATCACTGTATGGCGATCGTAGTCTCTTTGATTTCACTAGCCTATGCATGTTTGTACACAAAAACTTGGGATGTTTTGTTCCAAAGGTGGATACAGTTTAAAGCATAGGTTTGAAACGAAGTTGAAGTACAAGGGGTGTTTGTTTTACTTACGTCAGTCGTTTCGATACACTTTTCGGAACCTACCATCAGCAGAAATAATTTTCCTGGGATTGTGGTGGAAGATATCGCCTCATGGGAGAGTCCCGAAATTTCACCAGACTCCGGCCTGTCTAGGAACTGGAAGCATGCAAAGGTGTTAGCCATTCCTCAAGTGTTCATTTAACATCAATTCTTTCTCACTGGATGGACATTACTTTGTCAGTAAGCGTACTTGATATTTTTAATGGCCTTGTGAAATAGGTTTTTGGGCGAAATTCTTCGTCTATTTAGAACGACTAGAATGTTTTTAATGAGACTTTACTAGAAACGTGTTTTCCTTTGCTGAAATGTAAAATATCCTTTTTAACTTGGACATCCGACGGAGTATTATGTCGACAGACGGGAATTTGAGCAAAAGAAGAAACAAGATAATGACGTTCAATGTTTGCTGTCATTTCGAAGCATTCCGTTGTTTTCTTATCAGTTGTGTTTTGTTGATCAAAGTAAAATAGTTACTCAATGGGACAATATTATTTAATAATCAACTATCATAAACCACACTGCAGTCTATCGTTTTCACGCCACTCTACCCAGTGCAAGCCCGTGGGGGGTTACCAGTGTGTGAACTCCACAATAAAATAGCTACACAAAAATAAATTTGTGCTTTGTATAATTAACGCCTACAGTAGAACTGTCTTTAGCTAATTTGAACTTCCTCCCCCCAAAATACACTACTGAGGCTGTTCAGACTACAACGTTCAACGATCCAAACTCCGTTAACACCACAGCTCCGCAGTGTTTTGTTCATTCTTTTCATGAATAAACTTTCGATAAAAATAACCACACTTAATTTTGGTAATTTTTTAAATTTGCTATTGTTTAGTAATTTTATATATTTTTTATTCTTCCCACGTGCTTTTTCCTCACTCTCACAGTGACTACAGTAGCATTACAAGACCAATATGGTTATCCTCCTATCGAATAAATACCTCCGGGTGTGGGATACGAAGATAACGCTGTAAATGTAGGCATTCTCTCATGGAAATAATCACTAATGAAATAAAACGCATTGCTTTTGTTTTAGTGTGACTAGAGTTCCGGTTTTGTTGAATATGTTTCAGCAAATATTTGTCAAACTATTCTAAATATGCGAGTTGCCTTTATGTAATGATTTACTGGAGCTTGAGTTGAATAGTATTACACTTAGAGTAATTCTAAGCCACTCGCGGCCATTACAGAAAGGCAGCCTGGGGTATGCGATATTATTTGTCTGGAAAAGGATTTATCGTCCAGAAGAGAGGAGATATTTCCAAGGTAGAAACTATCAGTAGGAACAGTAAATATTGACACACTATCTTGGTAACCCACAAATTTGTGTCACATGTAAATGAGTGTCATCAAAAAGAGTCTTAGCGCTAGAGAATTTAAACAGAATTTCGACGGTACTCATTCTTATGTCAGTATAAACTCCAAAACGTTCAATCTTGTCTTCGTCACACTGATCTGGCCAGTTATGTGCGTTTGACAGCAGAATGCAACAAACTGGGTAGTATAGTCGGTGGGCGAGTGTCTCACCAAGTATACTGATGTTTAAACTGACGTTTTATCATAGGCGTCTAGTGGTGTAAGTTTTCGTCTTGGCTCTTCGTGTTGTGTCCCGTTCCACCGTATAACCTGTAACCAACGACTGCGTGATCACGTTCTTAGTTCAGTCAGTTTTTAATGAACTGGCAACTTGAAGGTCATACAAAGCCACATTTAGAATCCTCACAAACCGTTTTACCGTCATCAAGCAGCCGTAATTTGCTGCGTGGATTAGTGCTGAAGTCAGAAGTTTTCTGGTAGTTAGAAAAAATGATATTTCCTCCATCGTTCTATAACAATTTCAGTGCTACCTACGTAATTGGGTCTTTACCAGGTAAGCCTGTCTTTTAGTGAGTTCTTTTTTCTAAACAGGAGTAGTGTGTGTCCTGAGCAGGAATTGTTGTTTTCTTGAGTTTAGGCCCCACAGAACCAAAACCCCATTCATACGAATGAGGCAATATTCACTAGTTAGGACATACCAATTTATATTCTAGGTATTTTGTACCAAAACTGAATGAAATTCATTGACGACTCATGGCATTTGCTGGTCGCTCGTGCGTGTTTCCTGTTTATTAATAAGCTCATAATGTGAAAACTCAAAGTGATGTAGGTTGCGTAGTTTTATTCAGATACCACTGGGTCTGGAATATGCGTTACCAGTAACGAGAAGAATCGTTTGGAGAAAGATTTAATAGTAACTTCGGAATGGAGGGGTTGCGTTGGATTCAACTCGGAAATTTTGTTGACACCGAAGAAATGAAATTGTTATGGGTGAATCTGAGTGTTGGTCCCAACGGTCGTCATTTCGCGATCTTTTCTGAGTAGTTTTTTGGAAATGGCATTTTTGAATGTACCTGTCATAATTCCGTAAACCAACGGATTTACGCAGCTTGCTGCAAAGGATAGAGTTTGTGAAACCAGTTTGGCCACTTTCATAGAAGGAGTGAAAGGAAAGCTGGCTTCATCAAAATAAAACCACGAATTGATTATGTGCGTTGGAAGCCAGCAGGAACACCACAGTGTTGTTACCAACACCACCAGTTTTGTTGCTTTACTTCGACGTCTGCGTTGTTTCTCTTCCTTTAGCATTCGAACCGATTCAATTGGCGATAAGGTGGATTGATGTGGATCCTGTCCAGTGGAGTTTTTGGCATTTAGCGCGCAAGAAGCTTCATCCTGCGAGTAGCTAACGGAACAGGCCATATTGTTTCTCCGGTTCAACGGAATGATTTCTCCTCCCCTTGAACACGAACTAGACGAGGATTTTGTGTTCGGATAACCGGCTTCTTTTCGCTGGACCCACTGATGTCGTTCCATAATGTTCTGAAACGGTGATGAAAGAATAGGTGCGCATTAGCACTCCAAAAAATAGGTTTAACGAAACTGAGTATGTTTCACTTCGGAAATCAGAAGCACAAGAATTCAAGTTAGCACGCTTATTAAGGCCATTTTATGACAAGCTGTTTTGCTTAGTGATCCATGAAAACTGAGGAGTGCCGAAGAAAGTCAAACGGTGAGGAGCCGAACATACTGGGCATTTCGATAAAATGCATATCCTAGAAGAAATGGGATTACTGAAGAACACCGTCCAAACTGACGACATGTGAAAAACAGATACCCAGACTCGAGAAGCACTTGAACGCATAATTACATTAGACGCTAAATCACATGAGCTGTCATAGTGTTTTGTGCTTTTGAATGTCGGCTTTAACATCGTGCAGTACCCTGGGAACGTGCCGTGTAGTATAGCGCTTCACGGTGCTTGGTTTCACTCATTCGCTATACAATGGTAATCTATTGTAAACTAAAAAACTGCAAGTTATATCTAATCATTCGCACATCATTGTCCTTCTTTTTACGGATATATTGTTGGCCCATTGGTGGAAAAGTTTTAAATGGCGGGTTGGCATTTTCCATGCTGAATTAGCAAGTATGCATTTTAATCATTCCACATCACAATCTAAAGAAGCGTTTTAGTTCATAACTTCACATCGCAGGGGTTTCTAATGTGATCTGCAGCAACAAATAGACACAGATGATTATGAATAACTGATTAACAGACAAGATTTCATGCATGACCGATAAGACGCATACAGAAATAAAAGGTGAGCTTCCGGATAATCATAGCCAGACTCTGAAATTGCTGTTACGATTAATATGATTTTCATAAAATCTCAGCCAGTAACATGCTCATCCAGAGTAAAAAGTGAACTATGACATGACTATTCGATTACCCCGTCAAGCTGATTGTATACCTGATTTGCTGCTCGGCATTCTTCTCAGCGAACTGAGACTAAGACTTGAGAGCTAGTCACTTTATGAATGCAAATTACTAGCTAGTCCCATGGAGAATAAAATAGGATGTCAGAAATCTGGAAAGTGAAACAAATACTGAATAAAAAATTTGGATATGCAAGATCCTTGCTCTTCCATCCTCCCATCCAAACTGAAATGTGCCAAACGGATCCAAAGAAGTGGAAGATAAAATTTTGATTGACGGTCAAAACTGTTGGATCCACAACCAGCCTATCTGCAGTTTTTATCTGCTTCGCAGAACAGATATAATCTCTCAATGTGGCACGCTCCCCGAATGATTACTCCCTTATCCTCTAATTAGAAGGTGTTTGTGGAAGGATCTCAGTTTGTTTCAAAGATGCTAAAGGCGCTTCAGCCACACTAGCGGAAAAATTCAACTCCGTGAGTCACTATGTAACTGACGGATGGCGAGCTCCCTGTGTGTTTCAATGGCATCCTGAAAAATGTTCTATTTTTGGTACTGAAACTTGTTTATGGAAAATTGTCAATCAGGTGCAAAATGGAACGAAAAACAACAGGACATTTCGAGAGATCGAAGGCAGTTTCAGATGTCCGCTGCATGGTAACTCTGATTGCCTGACAGTTTTATTCTCACGATTTTCGAAATGACGAGGACGTTTGAATTTCCCACACTTTATCCTATCTACAATGACAACTGAAACTTTATAGTTTGTCTCATTGGCTAGTATTTTTTTCAGACTGTTGATCCGACTAACCGGGCAAACACATCTACCCCTCACTGATGTGCTCAAACAGTAAGTTTCAAAATAATGTGCAGATTTTGGTTTGCTTGCAATTTCACTTATTGTTGTAAACTTGGACGGAGACTTCAAGAAATTAGGTTTAAAAAACTTGTCATATTCTGATGATCCAATCCAGTGATTCATTACCGTTAATATTCTGATTGTCCTTCCCTAAAATAATAACAGCATGATGAGTTTTTGCCTGAATCCATACCCACCAGTTTTCCGCACATAGGTGACTCACAATGTATAGTTGGAATGGAGTTTTCTCCGAAAAACGACTGCTTAAAATGAACTCGAGCTTTTAAAGAAACGAATGAGACCCTGCTTTGAAGGACGTCATCTATCATAACTTGCCTCAATTTAACCTGATGCTATCTGGAGCAAGGTAATTTGTGCATGTCAGACAAATCTAAAGCACTTCAGAAATGGTTGAAGTGTTTGTAGGCAAACGAACTGAACCGTCATTTGTTCACATTTAAGTGCGAATACGTTGACATGTCAGATTTTAAGGGCGTACTGAAGGTCTAAGTGACACAGCTGGTGAAAAGAGTGGAAATCTACCGGCCGCGTTTTGCCTCTGATTTTCTCTGCAGTGTTCACTTTTGTTAAACACTGAATCGTGCGCTCTGCAGCAGCACATCCACACTGTAACGTCAAGTCTACTGATATGAAATGATGGTGCGCGACGCCTACGCCTGCAAAAAATTTCGCCCCATTCTGTATTTAAAATTCTTCATAATGAGCTATGTAAACTATGTTTCCCGAAAAATGATAAGAGTATTTTCGACAAATACACTCGTCCGAAAATCATTCTGGTTTTCAGGAGACTCAAGTATGCCTCTCGTTCATGGTGTTCTTCAACTGAATGTGCTGCGCCAATGCCACCTCATGTTTCACTTGGTACAATATCTGAGATATCGCAGTGCATTTTCATAAAGAAAACTACTCGCAATATGGATCAAAACTCTTTGACGGCCCACGACCGGTTTGACATTTCTTGGGACTCTTCAGCAACTCTTTGACGGCCCACGACCGGTTTGACCTTTCTTGGGACTCTTTAGCTGGGTGCAGTTCCCGAGTTTCCGTCAACCTTACGTTTTGCCTGAACCCAAATTAAAATGATTTCAAAAATACGCTCATTTGCCGGCCAATTTGGTTTTCACGAGAGAGAAGCGAATCTTTTGTTTGTGATGTTTTTCAACTGAATGTACTGCACAAACGCCACCTCATCTTTCAGTGAGGACGACGTTTGAGTCATCTCAATGTAATTTCATAAGGGAAACTACTCACAAGGTTGCTGAAAATCAAGGAACTGCGCCTACCTGAACAGCAAAACCCGCCGTGGGCTTTCGAAGACTCTTCAGCAACCTAGTGAGCAGTTTACTTTACGATAAGATTGTTCTTCAAGGGACAACCTGGCATGCTTTTAACAGGACCTGCTAATAAATTTGAAAATAATGTCTCGGATTTTAAAAGTCGTGCAACGAAGTGACGTCCACTAGGCGTAGTGGGTTTTTGTTGATAAAAATCACATTCAGTTCCAAAATTACTGTTTTTAATGATAAACAAAACGCTTGAGATGAAGTCAGTCTGTTTTTTAATGACTATTTCATAATTCCCTAGACAGAAGATTCAGACTGAGTTTGACAAATAGTTTGGTGATGTTTACTTACCAAATAAATTTAGAAGTAAAAGGTTTACACTACAAAAATTATCTGCTATGGTGGATTCCGCTTCGTAACTTCGGCTTTGCTATTCACAGAAAGCAAAAGGGAAAGGGCGTTTTTTTCAAATTTGGGCACTTTCAATGTGAGTATATTTTACACTTTCATTTCGTAAGTGTTATCCCAATGCCATCCTGCTTGGTTCTATCGAAGAATATCCTATTGGTATTTACCGTGTTATTTGAAACAGCCTCAGAATAAATGTACAAAATAAAACAAACGAAGAATGACGAATTGCTTGAACCGATCGAGTTGTGTGTGAAACCTTGGAAGTACAAGATTAGTTTGGTGCCAGACTGGAAAATTATGGGTTGACCTATTCGACGTTTAGCTGGATGAGCGAAAAATTTAGCCTGTGGGGTTTACTGCCAAATAAACGTTACTGTACTCTGATTTAAACTTGACATCAAGGTCTGTAGCATTATTGAACCTAAGCTGAGTTTAAAACGGAAAAAAAGACGTACCCTCGGAAAATGATACGCGTCAAACATTTTTGTGAGGCGACACTTTTGTCTAGGAGAATCGACAGAATACAATAGGCTGAGAATCACCGGAGTGTTCCTTTGGTACCGCCTGTGTGATGCATCTTCGACGGCTGATTCATGCAAGGGCTACTCAAGCATAATGGTAGACCTGTAAGATGCATCTTTGGGTCCTTCTTCGTTATATTTGGGAGGACCAACTGTTTGCACCGTGGCAGCTGTCTGGTTTGACATGCTTCCAAATGGAACGAAAAACATCCTGTTTACGCTATTTGGAACGGTCTGACAAGTTTGACTCTATCGTTTTACACCCATCAACACTTGTCTTATTTTGAAATTTAAGTTTGTTGCTTCTTGGCTTCACGATATCTACAATACTCCATTGGGTTTACCATCTTCTACACAAGTTTGACCCATCTTCTATTGGGATAACCCAAATTGATCGTGGAAATTCGGGCGGATTTAGAAAAACCTTTTTGACCTAGGCAGGTCTTACAGATAAACGGGACATGATTTTAGTGGAACACCCTGTAACTGACTAGTGTTGCAAACATCTCTGGAAATGGAAGAGCTAGTCTACACTGGTGTATGGTGAGAAAACTAATGCGCTTGGCGCAAGCCTCCTTTGATTACCTGAAGAATTATCAATCTGTATAGTGTCTAGTTTGAAATGATAAAGAGCAAACAACCTTCCGAAACGTGAAGTCTACTTATTGTATTCGCATTACTGAGAAATATTCAGGCGTTGTATGGTAATTGTGGGTTTCGAACCGCCATCTTGCTGTCTCAGTGCGGTCCAATAGTGGGATTACGCTATTTGGTCAGCACCGATGACAGAGTGCACTAGACCAGAGTTTTTCGAACTAGAGTACATTGGCACGGTTGGCCGCACTTTGGTTTTGCCAGTGGAAGTCTAGGGAATCCGTTGGCACTAATCACCCAACTTATAATGAAATGCATAGACTGACAGGCCTGAAGAAGCAAGTTTGTTCACGGTTTTCTAATGTTTGTAGCTTTGTACAGCCGAGAACGACATACAAGTAACTACCCTTGTATCGCTCACCGTTGATTTGCTGGTTGAAACCTCATGATGCGGTAAGAATGAAATAGAGTCAGGCTGAAATACTGACAGCCCAGTGCTTAGTGTGACCCTTGTTCATTGCTTCGGTTACCTTAACACTGCAACTTAGAAACATTTTTCTAGAAATTGGAATTTTTAATAAATTCGAGAAAGACTACTCTAAATGCTGGCATTTTGGAGTTCTGTCTCCCTCTTAAAAACGACTATTTTTTGTGATAAAGATTAAAGTCACCAATGCTGTTGGATAGAGAAAGTGCTCTCAAAATGGCTTTCAAACACGACAATCCAGACTGCACACGTATACATATCGAATCAGTTAATTGCTTCAAAATCTAAACTGAAGACAGTGCAGATTAATCAAACTTTGGATTTGACGAAAACATTGTTGAACACTGTTGCCTGTTAAACAATAGGTGTATTAGATGGATGTATGAATGTGGATATGTTCGGTGTAACGAAATCACAAAGCATATTGAATAATGCAACCATAAATTGGACGATCAACTGACTAACATACCCTTCCACATGTGACCGAATGAAACGTCAAAAAGTTAGTAAAACCTCAATTGTAGAACATCAATTTGTAAAACCTCGTCACTATAATAAATAAAGCTGTCAGTGAGCTTTTACACACGATTATCTTTAATGCTTTTCGTATGTTTAAATCAAAAACAGTATTTTAATGTAAGACGGCACATCGGTTCGGCAGAACACAAAATCTCTCGCTGACACAGTATGGTCAAGTGTTCAAAACCGTAGTGATTTTCAAGTGTCTACCACTACATTTTCTAGACACTTTATTAAACACACACGTATATTGGAGTGCCGGTGCCAGGAGCTCGTGGAGAAATTTGGAAGCCTCAGCAAGGGAACCATAGAATCCTGAGCTACGTGAGTTTGGCTGAAGTTGGTTGAAACGGCTTGTATGAATCGTAAGCGTTTTGTGATGTCGTTTGCACGTAGGTGAACTAATTGAGCTCGCACCAATATAGGATCTGGAATATTTTCGGGTTAATTCCGGACAGCTGTGCTGCTGCGTGTTGCTGGTACCCTTGCGGTTTTCAGAAGAAAAGCGTCTTCTTATTTAATAAGGCATAAGAATATGTATACTAACGCAGTCAAATATGTCAAGCAAATTTTGTTTTATAACGTTTGTACATTTTAAAACACGCAGGTTGTAACTCTTGATATAAAATCTGCTTTTGCTGACAAATTCCAAAGCTGTACACACAGCATTTAAAATTTTAACTCTTAAATTTGAGATCAAATCTACGGATACCTGTCACTTTTGTTTGCTGTCATGTTTGCCTTACTGCGAGCAGCGAATTGTCAGTTGGTTGCAACCCATAATACTCCTACTTTTTATAAAGTAGCATTTTTCCCTGTGTGTAGGTAGAACAGTAAGCCAAAACTGCGCTATAATTTTCACGATGTCAGCATTTTATCACTGAACCTGTTTTCAGCAGCTTCTCTCTAAATTTCTTATCGCTAATACTGTTATCTTGATGAAAAAAGCTACACATTGTGGCAGCTCAGATGCAACCAAGAATTTAGAAAAATGTGCATCTGTCGTTCTTCGTACTGTAAGTTCAGCGTTGCACGCGTGCCAGTAATTCAACTGACCCAGTGCTGTGCCTGTTTGATTTATTCTTGTGATTCAATTTATGTTATTCAGTTTGCATTTGTCAAACAGAATGCACTGTACGTTTGTGACTTTGCACGTACAACGGCTATTTTCCCCACTGGAATCCAGATCCACATTACTTTTTGCCACTTGACCAAATAGTTCGATACTTTCTGTTGTATTTGGCACATGACAGCTAAAATTGTTGAGACTACCATGTACAAAGCAAGTGTTTTTTCACTTAATGTTGACGTAATACATTCTTAAATGTTTTGAATTTGTCAAACTATTTATTGGTCCTGAAACAGTTGGTAGGCAGTCGTGTAATAATTTTGAAGGCTATTCATACTGGCACGCGGTGACAATGTTGGAGGATATCTGAGATTCCGTCCATTGTTCCTTGTTTGTTCCCTGTTTTGTGATTTCTGTTCCATAGTAGTAAAATCAGATAGAAATGCGTCCGCTTTTGTGCACTTAAGGTGCGGCTTGATTCCATCGGTTTAAATGGACTCGCAGGTTCCGATGTCATATCGACTGCGTCTCGCTTGGCCATTAGAACGTGCGCGTTTTCATGAAGCGTTGTTAGAGTAGGCATACAGTTGTTTGTTTAAATACCCAACGTTATAGTTAAAAGCCTGATGCAAAGTGGGTGAAGCAAACCAAGTTCCACACATAAAGGCTTTTGCTAGGTACATCGCCCTTATCATTGAATATTGGGGTACACCTTAGTTGATGCGAGATTTCTTTGTAGACAAAAACTCTGCTCTATCCATTCCTTGGCTATGGGTGACCGGGGATTTTAACCAAGGGGATTATAACCAAGGCTCCGTTAATAAAACACCCAGTCGAACTTTTGGTGCAACCATTACGCTCTCAGGATCCAAAGTTCCCTTCCAGGTTCACATGTAACTTCTGATCCGGTTTGTGGACTGAACCGCAATATCTCGATGTATTTCATGGGCAATTGCATTCCCAAGTGGATCTAACAACTGCAAAAGCTTAAGTACTAAAATTCAGTCAGATACAAAATACTGAGTTGACGTAGTGGCATCTCGTGAAGTTGGTGTCAATTTCAGGTATGATTACCCTCACATTACAAAAGCTGTTACAAAACTAAATACAGCTAGTCACTAGTTTTAAGAGGAGTGACATCTGACCTACACTGATAAACTCTCCTAAAGCTGGATAGTCTGATCACTTGCGTCTCGAAAACACCCATTTTATGGTGCATCCTGTCTCTCAAATCGCCCGTTTTGGAAAAGAACAACATTCACAAACACTTAACCAGAGGTGGAAAAATGTTCCGACAACGCCGTCATTTGTGCATTTTTACCACTCGGTTACATATTTACCTTTCAGGTTGATATTACCAATGAATATTAATGATGGGTTTGGTGCGGCACTTTTTTAACGGCATCAGTCATTGAGCTTGAAAGAGTACGACTCCTTAGAATGAGGAGCATGTAGCAGATTTGCTAGTAGTAAAAAAAGCATATGATAGTGAAGAGTACATTATATAATTGGGAGTCATTATTATATAAACCAATCTGTTCACGCTTAGTCGGTGCTGGGCGGTATAGTTCTTCTGTATAATACCTCATATGACTTTTATTGAGTTGTTTTGTCTGTTCGACAAGTAGGCACTTTCCTCAGGATCAAAAACCATGACTTGGCGGACTTGCTATTTGAGGACACCTGCTAGTGGAGACGACAAAAGATTAATAGATGTCATAAACGCAGGTCTATTTGTGGACTTTGTTAGACTTACCCTCTGCTGCAGCTTGTAAACTATCATAGAATTCATGATTATGATCGCGACAAAAGGCAGCACGTAGGTTGACAGAAGAACAAACAATTGATAGCCCATTCGGCTTGCCTGGCTGGGAAATTGCTCACGACAGAATTGCTTGGGAGATGCTGTGGTTTCTCCTGACCCCCCATACGAGCTAGTAGTCTGGTTACTTGATAAACTGCTCGTGGAATTGGTGACGGTGGGCAGTTGTTCAGTCACAAGAACGTGCACAACAATGACGGGAAGCGCGAACAAAATGCCAACTGTAGAATGAGAACAATGCGAACAGATTCTAGTAAGTCACATTTGAATTAGCAGTGCTGCTACACATGTAGTTATTCCATAATCACACAAAGATTACCTAAATGAGTCATCTGTTTCCGTGTATTCTCAAATGGGATGTTGCCACGCGAGTGGTCGCTAACTGCAACTTTTTCTACGAGATTTTGCAGTAGATGCTTGATTGTCTTTTGAATTTTGAAATGTACTGTAAATAAAGGCAGTAAATCTTATTTTCTGCCTTTTTTTCGGACGTTTTTGTAATACGCCACGTACAAACGATTATCAACAGGTGTTCAGCCAATAGGGTCAGTTTCGACTGATGGTTCCGTATGCCGAGCCTCCGTGGTCTTTGTGCAACTGGAAGAGAGAATTCCTCGATGAGCTAGTTATTTAATGTACAGTCCTTGTGTCCTTGAATCTTGCTTTTGAGGGTGAACATACCCGAGTGGGTACGAAGACCTTTAGCTTATACTACTCGCCTCCGAGTGCGACGCGTGAAGAACGCTAAATTGATCGACGTATATGGTTAGGACTATTGCTGAAGACGGATACTCGGCAACCGCCGATGAAGTTCCCTGAAATTACACGTCTTTCATATTTGCCGATTACAAGTTTTGCCTTTTTTGGTGTTCACCAGCTTCCGTCAGCGTAATGTTCTCTCTTATTACACACATGTACGAAGATGGCGAAATGGACTTATTTTAAATAAACCTGATATCCATGTGGGGTTAAGTGGTCTCCCAGCTGAATCCCACGACTATGATGTTAGCCAGTTGCGTTCGAGTTGATGTACTGAGAAAATATAAGGTTGACGAAAACTCGGGGACTGCATATTCTTGCTAAGCCCTCCAGTGAACCGTTGCAGACTTTAGGCCAGCCTAATGAGTAGTATGTTCTTTCACACTAACACACTGCAATATCTTGAATATCGTGGCACACCCAAACGTTTAGTTGAAAATAATATAGCAAAATGTCGAAGCTGAAAACTTTCTGGGTCACTCAGCGAACCTAGCTTAGTTAGCTGGTGAACGCCGATTGCATTACAAACCCCTAGATCTTGTGTTTTTATGGCGGTGATGCGAGCCAGGTCATAGGTAGCTGAAAGTAGCAAACGAAATAATATGTTCAAACGTTGCCTATCATTGCATGCATCTAGTGAACGACGGAGTCGCGCGGTTACCAGTTTCAATGACAGCCAATTCTTTTCGGGGCGAGTCACGAGCACCGTTAAACGCAGGTCTAATCTGATCATGCTGTGAGCACATGCAGTGTCAATCGATTACACTCGGCGGTATAGAGCATTATCTATTTGCTCCCAGTCACTTCAATTCACCTCCACCAGTAACTATGCTTATGCAACATTACAGTGGATTTCAAACAATGGGCAGCATCCCGACCACCAAAAAACCCTTCCGCAATGGTTTGGTGATTACCTAATCTCTGCCGGTAATTATCGTAATGGGTACAACACCCAAAATTATAACAAACAAGACGTACGATGTTTGTAAATACACATTACAACAATGTAACCCAATGTGACGTCAACCTTGTAGGTTACATCTAATTTCTCCATTTCAAGCCTCATTTCATAGAAAGTATTTTTCAAGGAGTTTTTCCATGGTATTATGAGTACGTCTGTTACTGAAATCTTTGGTTAGCTGTTTGATATTTCGACGCCAATGAAAACGTTATATTACATGTTGGATCAGGATGTGGATGGCTGACATTTCAGGAGTGCTTAGATTACTTTCTTGACCAAATGATGGAGAAGAAAAGCGTTTGGAATATGAGCGCGCCTCCCATGGTGTCAGTCATTCTTGTGTTAATGTAAATAGTATTTGTTTGTACTGGTTGGTTCACGATAAGCTCTTTTTCGGCAATTTTTGCATCTACAGGAAGTGCATCAAGTTCTGCACAATGATCGATAAAAGCGTGAGGCATCACTCTTCAAAAATGGGTGGTTATGTAAACACATTTTTAAACATAGTCACAAGTTTTTATCAAATATATTATTTGCCCCATTCGGTACTTTGGTAGATGTTAAGATGACTGTGGATGGAGCTAGTTAAATGATGTTCTAGCTGGTGTCCTTTAAAACAACGAAAAAGCCTGCCGCGTAGCGAAGCCCTGTAAGTTTATCTAGTAGCAAGTTTATGTAGTGGGTAGATTTTAATGTGTTGTAAATTCCTGCAGTTGGGCGGCTCCTATACGCACCGACAACATCTCACTTTTGGTGGCGGATTTTGAAGGCTAGTTGCCACCATCTGAGTGCGGATTAACAGGCACCTCATTAACAACCAGGAAACGCATCCTAGCTACCAGTATTTCGACATATTACCAAACAAATGAGTAAACCACCGATGTTTGTCCGGTGCGAATGACAGACCATGGATCATCGAAAAAGGGGTGATCAGACTGTCCATTTAAGTAGAGACACTGAGTTTTTGTTGTGGGAGTTGAAATAGCACAAAATTATACAAAACACAAATTACACTGTAATATTAGGGGAGAAATGGTCAGGTGTGGATAATTCACGGCTACGATCTTTGAGAGGAAACTGCAAGGGACTGTTGAGTCTGAGTAGGTACAGTCAAGTTCAATTTTGACACAGTATCCTTCCTAGTTCAGGTTAATTTGCAGGTATCATTTTAAAATGGGTTCACGATATTTGCTGTTATAAATCCTGTTTCGGAATGCAATTGAATAGCATAAAAACGTTCGTTACTTGGATTCTTCAGCGGCTTGACTGTTTGTTCTTTTCAGTTGAAAAATACTATTCTGTGGAATGTTTGTGATAGGGCAAAATCATGCGCATCTCCTAAATTTTTATTCGGTCTGCATTATAAAAACCCTACGCTTGTGTCTGAATTCATACATCCAGTTCTGAATATCGACAAACGATTATCGTACATACAACTTCTTGGAACCTTAACTGATTTTCTCTGACGCCACCTTTCTGGGCGAAGAACGACTCACTCACAATCGTAGATGGCTTGATAAAAACAGAGCGTAGGAGGAAGTTAGGACATTCAATCGATTAAGCAAGGTTGGCGATTTCCCAGTTTCTTGCTAGTCGGGTTATTTTCGTATGCGGCTTATTATTATTTGGCCAACTTGCCCGTTTGGGCAAGGTCTCTGAACGTCTCGTCCTCCACAATGAAGTTCGAGTTCATATTGGTCTAACAACTCATCACACGTCTGAAAAATGCTCCAGCTGGTGTATGAAGGTGACCACATGATTGTATCTTGCTGTCTGTCTGCCACCAGCATCCAGCCATGTGCGCAAATGTTTAGCGCGTGTATCAGATAAACCCCGGAAACCCAGATTTCGTAAATCCAGCGGTGTAGCCGAAAGAAACATGGACGCGAGACCATCATACTCCAATCACAAGCCTAACTCATCATAATTTGGAACTCGAAATCACTTTCAAAAATCAACGCCAGTGAGACAGGCTAAATCAAAACCATCCTAACTAATTAAACCAAGCTTGCTGAGATAATTACATTTGCGCTGTCTTCACTGCCGGTCAGCAGCTTGGTCACTTGAATTTAGATGCGGTTGGATGTCCAGTGTTTACCTTCAATAATCCAGACCACCTCCACACCGGTTAGGACAATAGTTTCATCCTAAAATTCTTCAAAATTCTATAGCCTGAGGTTTCTCAATAGTCAAGGAGCGAACTTACTGGCGCAAACGTTCGTGGTTCAAACTCAACCTGTTCATTTCAAGTGCTGCTGTATAAGCTAAGGAAACCTCAGAACAGCTCAGCTCTCCTGTTTCCTTCAGGTAACATGGCAGCCAAGCGCCAAAAGTGTGTTACAGCCGATCAGGCATTACGGATTTTCGACCTTCTAGTGTCATCACCTATACAAGAACCCAGCTTGGTTAATAATATCATACCGCTCGGTAAGGAACCAGATTTCACATCTTTTATCCTTTGGGTGTCTGATGATCCTGATGCAATGGCTGGTAGTATCTGGCTTGTGAGAGTTGTACTTAGCCCCATGACTGAGTGCGTTTTACTGGGCTCCAGTAAACAGCCCGTTTTGCTATGTTACTTTGACGGGATTAATCAAAATCAGTGCATGTCAATGTGTTAGTTGGTGCTAGATTTATTATATCATCACACGCCGCATCAGAGTACAATCTTAGTGCTGAGAAAAACAGCCTCTTTGGAAATTTTCCACTTAGGTCAGTAAGACGCTATGACGTTATGATTCCTGAAAGTGATATGAATGCTAGGGTTTTCCCACAAATTCCCGGTAAACCTCATGTTGGTGGCTGATTCGGAGTTGACGCTCAAGGAAAAGTCATCGGGGAAAGACTCCTCCAGGTATATGCTGCACATCATTGTCGCCAGCACAGGCATTCAACACAAGCACGTACACCCTGTGACTTGGAGGCCACCCAATAAAAACCAGCAGTGAACTTAATCGGACCCGTGGATGGCCTTGGTACAAGATTGCCGTTCATTCCGGAGTACAGCCCTGGACTCTGTTTGTGTCATTGTACGAGCAAGCTTTCGGCCAGAAGTACGGCAAGTGATGCAAAGCCGTCTGTTTTATCAGTTGAAAATCGACTGTCGCAAATCGACAGTAAAGTAAAAAGCTCCTAGGACTCGACAGGAAAAATAGTGTTTTCGATGCCGATTCGGTAATGTGAAAGACGTAAGAATCACAGCTTTTGAAGTCATCTGCACAGCTCAGTGAATCGTGATGTCGTTTCAATCAGCAGCTCTGCTTAAAACTAGAAAATTTATACCGGCTAAAGACAACTGTTTTGACGCGCGCAAATACCTCAGACGCCAAATACTTAAGAGCCTAAGATCGGACAGAGAGCACCGACTGATCACGAAAGTCCGGGAATTCGCGAAAACTTTTGCAAAGGGAAACAATCGCATCCCTTCCACGTTTATTTTGTTATCTGTTTCGAGGACGTGGAATGTTGGTGGAACCATCTCCAAAAAGACAGCACCTCACTTTATTTATAGGAACGTCATCTTGAAAGATAGAGTGAACCCTCTGAAGAACAGGTTAGCTAGGTTTCAGCAACTCAGCCTCTGAAAAGAGTAGCTTGTACTCGAGTGGGAAGTCAACATCAGTCCGCAGAATTCCAGCGCAAATTTTCAATGCCTAAGCATAATAAAAGAATGAAGTGCATCAGCGGTTATCCCCACATTTAAAGCAACTGCAAGGATATCGTACGAATGGTACTGGAACATCAGCCAATTGGATAGAGCTCCCGGGATTATCCCACGCAAGTTGATCCTCCAACAGGAGAGTCAGGTTTGGCCGGGATTTCGTCGATCATATCTTTCTATTCCGGTAATTACTGGAACTTCAGTATTCATTCCGACGACCAACAGTGGCCACATTTCTCAATCTAAAGTCTATTTTGCCCGCGTTTGACGTCAGAAACATTATAAATGTCTGGCGATAAAAGGGCGTCTCTCTAATTTCTTGCCTCCTTTTAAAACTCCGTATGCACCTCCTGAGAACGCGTACGTGTCTATGGTAAATTATCTCCTGGGTTCGCTAAATTCACTGGCCGCAGACAAGGATGTTCTCTGTCGACCTTTCACTTCATCTTTACAACCTTCTTTATCTTTGTCTTATTTGCGTGCCACCAACATCCTGATGGTCAAAGCACCCACGAGACGATCGCTCACAGACTTTGTGTAGACCGACGACATTGCTTTTCTTCCATCAGACTTTTGAGACATGCAAACTATTTCAAATAACCCAAACAATTCTGCTACATGGTTCGGGGCGCGCTTCGCGGCTGTAAAGTCTAGCGTGCTGCTGCAGTTGAACTGACCAAAGTATCAGACAAGTTAATTTACCTGGAGAGCTGCTTAACTTCCCATGGTCTGGAGAAAGAGGAGCCACTTTCGGAAATGAGAGATTAGCGCATCGTTTGCTAAACTCCGATGTTTGTGTTGCCGAGGTGACGTCAGCTTGACGGTCGAGTGTAAAGTGTACAATGCTGCAATCCCCCACATGTTGTGGACCTTCAACTACTGTGTTTGACCTCAAGTCTCTCTGAAGCATTGGGGAAGTCTGGTGGGAACATCAGGTCAGTAATACCTAAGTATACCAGATGGGTCTGTGGGTGTTCAGTCTCCCTCGATAGATCAGCTGATTACACTCCATAAGTTACTTTGGTTGAGCGATGTACTTTGTATGCCAGAGGACCGCTCGTCCCGTGGAGATCGCTTCTCTCGGTCTTGTGTCGCGTGCTGACGACTCAGGACATGCAATGCAGCATGTAAGTCCTTATCTGCCAACTGAGCTGTTTTGGTAGACGTCGTCTTTCAGGATTGGGATCTCAGGACAAAACAAATTAATGGTTTGCGGCACTGGCAAACATCCCTGTGTCATGCGGCCAATCGTGGTCTTGAATTAAAGCTATCGTCTTTACTGCGTGGCCGCCAATTTCTCCCATAGCGAATGAACAGAACAATTCGATGCCAGTAAACTGACTAGGATATCATGTCATTATTCTTCTTATCCTCGGTGAACGAAGCTTTAGCATTGCATTTTGATGCACAGTTTGTGAGCTGAGAAAGTGAAATGAACTACTTGATGGATTGTATGAACACGACCGTATACAATATATGTATATATATATATATATGTATATATCACTCCTGTTCTACACCCCCAGTCACACACCAACTGGCTATGATAGAGTTTTCCTTTATCCAGGATCTTGGCCGTAACCTTGGATAATTCGCTGACGATAGTGAGCCAACGGACGTCTCTTTTAGCAACGCTAAAACATAACTTTCCACTTTATTATCACTAAACAAACACATGCAAAAATTCAACGGCCATTTTTTTTCAAGGGGCAACAATTCGAATACTGTTCTCAAAACCTCCATATCTGTTCTGCTGAACGATTTCAAATCATTCCGTTACACAATGAATTTTTAGAAAGTAGATTCTGCTCTGTTTGCCAACTGGGAATTCTCGACATCTTTCACTGTGCTATGTGCCTCATTAAGTCATCCATCGTCGCCTTAATCGGCAACCGTCCTGAGCTTGACATGATCCCCTACAAACGTCTGTTTCAAAATTTTAAACGCATTGATAGCTCCGACACATACACCTGTTGAGCCCAAGGCCGTAATCAAATAGCTAGATTGAACGAAAGCCTCAAGAATCTCCAGCATGCAACATGATTGCAAGGCAGTAGAACACTAGTTTTCTCTGCTACTCTGTCCTCGAATGATGATCATGACGGGGATGGTGACGAATGTGTTCCAAAGTAGCTAGTTTCGCGTCACCACTTTCGAGCATCCTATATGGAAAGACTGCCTTCTCGACCTCCAATCTTAATTTCTACTCATCACTAGGTGTAAAAAAGATCGTGCCGGTCTGTAGGTTACTTCCCAAAAGATTACAACTGCCCAGTTGATCACCACCGTGATTGTTCCAACTTCAAAAAGTCAAAATATCTTTTGACCATCTTTACCAACCATGTCTAAAAGTTCTCAGACCCATCTGTTACACTGATTCTCTAGCACGAGACAGGCACCATTACACCGTTGCGAATCCTAAGTGAAACCGTTACTGCTTCGAATCCACTCTTTAAATGAGGCCTTCAGATTATCACCCCACCAGATGCAACCCCGTGACATATCACGACACTGAGAGAGGTAACCACCATAAACCATCATGAACAACACACCCATCAATTCCGTGCATGTTCCTTAGTTCTTGTGTCGAAACGCAATGAAGGAAAATACACAATAATGTGTGTTTCGTATAACCTTTCCAATACCCTATTCGCTACCATAATGCCGCTTCAATAGCCAAGCCCTTCGGTTAGCTTTGCCTAACCATTTTAAGTATGCAGCCCAAAACAATAAGTGTCCCTCAGTCAAACATTTTACCGTACCAGGTTCTTTTTGCACTTTTAAAATCTGTATTGACAAAGAATCTTTACATGGGGAGTTATACAGTTGTTATTATCTTGTTTTTTAAACATGATGTGTTTTAGTTTTAGCTCACCGGTATTCCGTTTATCTAACAAGTAATATATTGGAAATCGATCTTTGGTAGTCCATTACCTAGGGCAGTTGGCAACAACCATCATTCGGATAGGTTCTGTGCCGGCATATTGTCAGAACAGTAACTTTCAGAGACGAAATGAAATTGTGAGTTACTTGTGCGAAACCCATTCTCTAAGACAAATCGGGGAAGTGGACTCGCAGATCATAGAGATATTTTTTATTTATCCACCGTACATGAACTCACTTTCTAATTTCTAACACGGTCAAAATGTCAGTTTCCGTAGGACCGTGTCTTAATACACTTTGGCTTAAGCAATGCTATTTCATTGGTTATGTCATCGTATCCTACAAAAGGGAATGTGTTTTGAACTACTGTCCTACCATAGTACAGACATGGTAAATTAATGAGTCACCATGTGCTTCAAACTTCGCTTTTAGCTGTCATTAGTCAAACAGAACCTTCTGATGTGGAAATTGTCTTCAGAATACTTAACTAGCAGATGTTCTCGCACATGTTATGCTCGCCAGAAAAACAAAAATCGGACTCATTCAGGCGTGATTTCAGCTCGTTAGTCAAAGTGGATGGAACTTCTCGCCCTGCTTTGAGTTGTTTACAATATCCTAAAAATTGACCCTCTCACGAATTTGTTTGAATGAATAGAATGGATGCGTCCCACTCGTTTGGCTCGCCAGAGGGCACCGTTTGACACTAGTGGTTCTCAAAACCCTGTACGTATATTACAGCTAACGAAATAGCTTTAGACTCAACTACTACAAGGCCACCAGATCTACGGTGAGGCCAGTCCTGGACGCACTGAGCAAAAATATACCACAGACACTGCATGCTCACATTTGATTTGGCAGAAGTCCCTATCGGACTTTATACTGTCAGTGTTTGAAAGTCCTTTTTTCACCCATTTTCAAGCTCAGATTTGATTTCCATGTTAAAGTAGAATGTCATAACAGCGAAAGCAGCTTACCACACCAAGCAGCAAGGCAAGCCAAACGAGCTTGCAGTTCGGTCATTTTCAGATTTTGCCATGGCAGCACAACGGAAAGAAATCGGCTAGTCGTCAGCCCCAGTAACATGAATGCGGTGGAGAACACAGTGACCTGAAAAAAAGGGAGACAAACAGAGGAGTTTACTTACCCTTTGAAATACGCTCCGTTTCATGAAACTGCTGCACAATCTGGTGTAAGGTAATCCCAACATGTAATATAAATAAAGGTGCGAACTGAGTGTAAAGCGTCAACAGAAAAACAAGGACCAATTATTAATATTTGATGGCAACGTGTGATTACCTGGCAAATTTTTAAACGAAACGAACCAGGAATTTATGTAAGAGCCACTTTGGGCCACTTGATGAAACCTAGCCATAACGTAGGAAAAATGCGAGTTTCTCTAACGAGGCGTTTGATCCCATTGTTTGATAGAATGCAAACCTTCCACAGTGATCTAAATGTACTTTTCGGCTTTAGAGGATGACAGAAAAGTTGCCACTTGCGGTAAGCACTAATTTCCTATTCTACCGTTATCACAATCATGACTGAACTCCTAATAATAGTCCTCGTTACCGTCTTCACAATCACTCAAAACGCACTACCCTCATATTAAAACCATGATAAACATCGTCCCCCGTCTTTCTAACGCTTTCATCACAGGCACCATTGGTATTGTTTCTACTGTTGTTATTACTATCCTTAACATGAACACTATCACTGTCTTCATTCTCAGTTGTATCCTCATTCGCATTATCCGCTACTGGCAATCTATATCACCCTCACCGCCAATGTCGTTAAAATGCGTGGTGACATATTCAAAGACAACAAGTCATTTATCATCTGAGCCTGTTTGCACAAACATGGACCACACAAAAGTAAAACATAACGTTTGCGGAGAGTCACGAAAACTTCCTAGGACACAGAGTATCTCTCCAGAGTGATGTTAGTGAACAATCTAAGCAAGTCATATTCTGTACCCCGCGCCCAACTACTTCAGTTTAAGGTAAAAGTCAAAATTTGAACTACAGAAGCAGTTTTTACTCTGACACAGACTGCGGAAAGTAAGCTGTCTAAAGCAGGTGGTTGGTCAGTGTGATGGTTGTTGGTGGCTACCAAATTCTTATGAATACTGGGTATGTAGGACTAGGTTTCTGCATAAGAACAAGAGTGGAATATTCTTACATTACCATTATACACTCGCTTATAATCTTATCCACCCAACTGTTAATGAGCTATCGCTTCTAAGTGTCACTCAGTCGATTCTTTTATGATGACGTCATAACCACCCCATTCTTTGTGCCAGGAATATGCCCATCATACTTGGACGCACGAAGTACGTTGGAATCAAATCAAATTTAGGCTAATACTGTAAGCGAAATAAACGCAGGAACTCCTGTAATGGCAAAATCTACAGAAAAATTTGAATGGATGGCGAAAACAGTCTCTCAACTGTTTTCTGCCGAAGGATCACTTCTTCAAACTGGCTGAAATGATATTGAATTAAAGAAGCTGATATGACGGGTGATTGTCCAACGCCTTGTCCAAAAACCGATTTATGAGACTGTCGAAACTTGGCGATCCTTAGATTGGAACTTCTAATCCCCAAGAATACTGAACCGCCACCTAACACTGATTTGATTTTCGCCAAAATGGATTTCGATGACGGTTTCTCAATTTGCAGAAGCTCTTGTCTAGGAGAACAAGGTTTCGCAGAAATGAATCCAAAGTTTGTTGACCAAGTTGTTTCAAATGATAGCTCATAGGTCCAAACCTTGCCCCACTAATAATGGAATTTTACATTTTTTGCAATCGCTTTTCGATGGCATCATAACGATATGGCAGTTGATGGAAACAAAATAACCGTTCTAGGGAAGTCTGGAAAACAAACTGTGGCGTAAACGCCTAGGATACACCTGCCGCACCCTGTGCGGCCGTATGTGTATCATCTTTTCGAATGACTGAACAGTATCTCGTGGGAAAAACCGTTAAACCGACAAATGTTCACCAACGCTAATATCTATGGCGCTCAAGCTTTGATCACAACTGCCGAAGATAGAATGACCAGTGCAAGTGGTTTAGGTAATTTCATCAGTTGACAATCAGGTTAGTTTTAAGCATTCGGGCAGAATAAGTTGATCGTGACATTGAAGATTTCTTGGAGCTCATAATATGGTAGGTGTTCATCACATTCACTGTAGTTTGAAGTCTTCACGTGCAATGATAATAGTAGCGTAATTGAAGAATGGATTACGACTTGGAGGCGATGACTGCTTAGGTTGGTTGAATGTCAATCTTCGTGTTTTTCTAACCTGGCTGCAACCAATGTACACATCCTTAGCTTGGACGTGGTCAGCCCTTAAGAAAGGTCAACAAGATTACGCTGAAAACAAACCCCAAGATTTTTGGTGCCACTCCATACGATGCTTTGACCGAACAGTTGGGGGAGATGTGACTGCAAGTGAATCAAATAAACCCCATTGCTGTCCAACAAGCAGATCACTTTCGTGTTTGGTTTTCCGATTTCTACTGCAGGCTTGGGATTACTGCGTCCGATAGCAAAGCTATTGACAGTCGTCCAGAGGGCAGATAATCCAGTAAGGTGGCTTCACCCAGCAAATACCCACATTTTTATGGCCGTTTCTCTGAACGTACGTTGGAAAAATACCTAGAACACCATAGTCCGTAAGGAACTGCTTTAAGAACTAATGAAAGTGGAGCGTCAAAGAGCAAACATTTCAAGAAATCAGCCACACCATTTTCATTAGTTTTACAAGACTAGGGAGACTCACAACGTTGTGTGAAAAAAAACTATGGTCATTGCTACAAAGTTTGGATTTAGATGGTTTTAGACATTAAACGGATGTTGTCCACGCTAAACAAATGGAAGCGTGCCTGAGAATCTACAAAGCGAGCGTATTCATTATCGACGTCTACAGTGCAATCCGTATTCAGATACAGAGAGGGTCAAAATTTGGTGATAGAGATTGCAGAACCATTACAGTGATATTATTGATTGATGATGAAAACGCAGCATACAACTTTTATTTTCCTGATAGGACGCTAGAAGGAGAACATAGGGCAGCCAGTGAGAATAAAATATCTAGAAAACAAGTTGCTTTGTTACTCTGTGGATGTATAGAGGACGAAAAAATGACCCGTAATTTATAGACAAACACAAATCTTCAAGCTATTTAGCTGATGGTGACGCAACATATCTTCTTGTTCACAAGTGTTCCCTGTGATTCAAAAGTTCATAATGTGCTTAGATGTCAAATTTCTTGTCCTGAAGTTGGTTAACAGAAAGATAGCTACTCATAAATGACAGGTACTCATATTCGTTGACAATGCTGCCTCGCAGTTGGTGAAGGATGAATTTTCCGAAGTCCGGGTAATATAGTTGCCCACAAAGTACACGTCGTTCATGCAACCCACAAATCAGAGTGTAATTTGGTTCTGCAACTATTACTTTCGACAAGTTATTGTCGCCTTTGTAATGATTTACACATAAAACAGGTCTACTGCTATGAACAATATGGTTAATTCGACAAAATTGAACTGCAGTTCATCTGGACGCACGCCATCCACGTCCTCAGAAAATTAGGATTTATGTCACACGGGAACAGGCCGGAAAGATCCTCTAGAAATAGAAGGTTCACAACATATTGGAATTGGCGATATCTTACTTTATCAGGAGATGCAAAGGATGGGATTCGACCCAAATGAAGTGCATCCGAGCTGAGTACGTGAATTATTGTCTGTATCTCAGAATTTGGCGGCAAAGCAAATAACACTATTTAATACGGAAGAACAAGTATCTCCCTCGATGCAAAGACGAGGAGTAATGGCGCAAACAAAATCCTGGGAGGTTTTTCATTTCAGCACGGTTTGGTATTTTTTACTGAACTTCATTTTGCTATCAGGGCCTACGCTGACTAGTTAAAAGGGAACAAGACCGCTGGAAATCTGTGACTATTCCGGCAAATAAATGGCTGTCCACAATGAATACTCCGTTACATGTTCCCTTAAAATGGCTGGCTGTTCCACTGCATCTGCCATATTTACCGAGAATAGGAAGGGCATGCTTTCACACTGAATTCGTTTATTTGTCAATAATCCGCCTTTCAGCTTGAAAGTCTCTGCTAGACACGCACAGCATTAACGATCATAGTCTTGACATTGAATGGGCTACTGAGCTAGCCCTCAACATAACCTATAACGGTCAGTTATATCGTTGTTTCTTCTTACTCAGTCAACCGGTACTGAGCTTACAAACCCAGACGTTCGACAAAAGCATTTGCTTTTCACCAGATGTATTGAATTTCGAGAGGTGTGGCTGGCAGAAACAAAGGTTTTTTTTTACTATTTCCCATAGATAATAGCAGCGCTTATTATACTCTTGATTGGGCTTTCCTACTCAGAAACCTCTGGTGACTGAAATGCACATACTAAATAGGCCACAGCTACAAAATCACCTCAATGCGCGCTAACTTTATGTGTGGATTAACGAAAACTCAACAATAACTGCAAAGGGAATGGTATACCGTAAACCACCGACCTGTCGAATTTTTTGCGGCTTTGTACATGGAATCCACCACTAAAACGTCGCTGTAGAAAGGGCAAATTATACTGATCTTGGAAGAGCCTTCGCTGAAGTTTTGTATCCCGGACCTTTTTAACAGGATATTTATGCCAATTTTTCGTGGTCGAAGGGCATTTTTCTCACTCTGAATCCAATCGAATTTTTCGGGACTGTGTTTGCCAGTAGGCTTGGCAAACCCCAAGAGGGTTTACAACACCTACACTCTCCAACACCCATCATAGTTGCCCATTGGCGCAAGCGGAGCCAAGATGAATTTTACTCCAAACTGGAATGCTCACGTAATAGACTGATTTTTAAAAACCAGCGGCGGACCACTTTATCAAACGGTTGACCGCTGTACGTGATTTCCCCTAACGATATATCCCATTTAGTCGATGCCTTTGCTCTTTCCATCCATTCTACACTTTGGAGAAAACTAAGTAACAGTGTTCCTCCTTACCTGTAATTCCCCGTTTTATCCCTCTCTGACTTTGTCCTCAATAACTTACTCCTGATGTCTCTGTCCTCTTCC